CCCTTCCTTGTCAACTCCCCTCCCCAAGAGGTCTCATTGTACAGTGCCCATTCCTGTTTCACTCTCTTCTCTCTTTCTCTCTCTGTTTGGATGTACTGTTCTGTGTAACTCAGTAGGTCTCCTTCTTTCTGGTTTGTTTTTTTCTAGATTCCTGCCGTTTGTTCATCGTTGTGCCTAAAGCATGTCGATGTGGCGTTCAAGTACATCGTCCAAATCCTTGTCTCTTCAGCTTCTCTGATGCTTGAACTCTCACCCTTTGACCTTGTGTTGACTTTTGATGCTGATGTGTATTTTTATTATGTTTGTTTCTTCTTTTTTTCCTTCTTTTTTTTTTGTGCTGCCAAATTGGTTTTGCTAGAAAGACTGCTGATGGGGAATATTTAAACTTGCATTTGAATATAAAAGAATTCTATTTTTCTAGAACTTCATAAGATAACCACTTGATTTTGTGATTCTGATTCTTTGTAATTGTCTTCAGAGCAGCCTTGCTAGCATACCTCGTGGAGTATTTGTATTTCTGTGAACATACAGCCAATCACTTTCTAGGCTTAGTTTTTTCTGTGTGCTTAGTTTCAACAAAAATCTTTGAAGGAAAAAGTAAAAGGATGCAACTCAAAAGCTTTCAGGAGGCTTCTGGTCACATTTTGCTGAACCTACTTGGCCATGCTTGAGGAGAGAGCATGTGTTCATTGACTTGAGTAGCTTCAGCAGAAAACACTTGAATTACACTTTTTCCTGATTGTAGCTGCATTTTTGCCCTGGCACTTAACTGCTTTTTCCTTCCTGTGTGATTATCAGCCTTTGTCTGCAGTGAGAATTTAATCAAAGTTGGTGTTGTATTTTGTTAAACCTTTGCATGCTTAGTTTTTTGTAACTACAATCTCCTCAGCAAAATGTGAGTTTTTGTTTTTGTTTTGTTTTTCTTTTAAAATTTCAAATAATGCCCCTGTAAACGTTTTGCATGTTTCCTGCTGTGTTCTTCACAATCCTGTATATATATATACACCCTTCACCTCTGTTTTCTATAGTTGGTGCAAAAACTGAGCAATTTTATTAGGTTTCAAAGCTGTCCTTTTTTGGATGCCAGACTTGTGATCATATGTCATGTAAGGACATCTCCTGTGCATTTAGACTGCTTTACACAGTATCTGCACCTTGCTCTATTATCACAGCTATGGAAAGGTCTCAGGGGTTTGATTGCACTGTTCAGATGGTCATGGTGGCAGCGGCAGGGATACAAGTTTAACAGAAAGATGTGGGATGTTTGCGTAATACTGCTTCTGAAATCCAACGGAGCTCAGGCTCTTTTGGGGTAGCCTTAATTTGTACCTCTTGTTTAATATGCGACTTGCTTTGTGAAATTTTAACACCATTAACTCTCAGTGAATGGAAGCTTGATTGCTCTCCAGTTCTTACACTTGAAATAGCATGTCGTATATATCCCATAGAAGGAATCTGTAAGCCTAGGCACAAAACTGCTGGCTCTTTCTCCAAGTGACAAGCACAATATAACAGCACATTGGCTGTTACCTGAACAGGGTACCAACCCCGGCTCCTTTTCTCAGGGGCCTTAGCTGGGGGAATCTCCTCTGTGGAGAATTTTTTTAAAAAGTTTTGTTCTTTAATTGGGTTAGGAGACATGCAGCTTTCTTTCTTTTTTTCTTTCTTTTTTTTTTCTGGCCTGATGAAAAAATAGGACAGATTATCCTTCTCTGGGAAACATGCTTCAGCTTTGCTGCACATATGATCTGCTTTAGAAGCTGAGATATAGTCCGGGGGCTTCACAGCACCTGCAAAAAGTCCTGTGGTAAGGACTAAGCACAAGGGGCAACGGGGTGGAGGAGAAGCTATGAAGGAATTTTAACAGGAGGAAGGAATGTGAAACAAAACATTTGGAGAGTAGAAACATGCAAGAGACCTATCTGGGCCTTAGGAAGCTTTCACTCTATTGTTGGCAAAAATCAGCTGCCAGCTCTCTTGCTGGATGGGTAATCTCTCTCCATGTTTGTTTTTCTCTCAACCTTGTGATCAGCATCGCTAAGGATGAGAGTGACTTGAAAGGGGATATATCATTGCATTATTTGGGGTACAGCTGTGAGATGATTGACCTTAGGCTCACAGTCACAATGCACAGGGGTGTCTGATGGCAGGGAAGTCAAGGCCTTGCAGTGTATTAATTAATTTTGCCAATACATTTCTTTATAATGCGCATACAGTTTCATGAGAAACTCTGGAGAATCCTGTGGTAAAAAAAAAATCTCTGGAGAAAACCAAAATGCCAAACATTAGATGTTCCTTTCCTTTCTTTCCTTTGATTGTTTTAATAATTCTGTGGTGGTTTTAATGGATTTGAGACAGTAAAGCAGCAGCTGCCTTTTATTTCTAGCTGCTTTTTGTGAATAATTAAAAAAAAAGAAAATTTACATTTTGGAAAAAAAAACCTGTGGGCTTTTTTATTGGTACAAACATTGTATTTAACACTAGGGGTTTTGTACAGTTTTTTGCCTTTTCTACTAGAAAACAATGTAAAGTGATTCACAAATGTGACAAGAAAACAAATTGCCACTATGACCAAATGTAGAATCTGTTCTGCAGTTTAACAGGATTTAATCAATTCAAAGTCGTGATTCTGTTGTAGCAATGCTTTTCTTTACCCTGTTTGAACTGTTCCTTTTTCTTGTTTGATTTGCAAAACAAAATGTCTTTTTTGTGTGAAATTGTGTTGTACTCTGTAGAAAATTATGGATTTTACTTTAGTGGTTAAAAAAGAAGCACATGTTGCTTTTCTGATCACGGAGTTTGTGTAGTGGATTTAAAAAATGAAAGTTTTGTTACAAGTTTGGAACGAGCGAGTATGTATTAAGGAATTTTCTTCCTTTTGTGTGTGGTTTCTTTTTGTCCCACTGGGGAACTTAAAGCTGTTTTAATTGCACAGACACACAGACAAGAAGTCATTTTGTATATGCCAAGTGTGGTATCTCCCTTTGTTTATTTGCTATTAAACTGTTTGAGAAGAAATTTCTGTGTCATCCTTGTATTTACTTATATAGAAGGCAAATTGGTATATTGGTATCTGGGTATTTGAAAAAAAGGGTTGCTTAGTCTAAACGTATGAGAAGGTGGAATATATACATCATCTTTTCTGTCACTGGCATGCTGCTTCCCTAAATATAAAAGCTCACCTTTTTCCCCTCTCTTAATTTAAATTATTTTTCTAAGCATTTCACTTTAAGGTTTATTTTCTATCCTTGACGTAAATTGACTGGGCCAGGATCTATTTCATCAAAGATTTTTCTGATAGGCAAATATACACATGAGGAATAGTTTATTATACAAAAATGCATCTCCATTCAGTTTTTTTCTGCTAAGTTTATCTTGTTTAAATCACCTTGGGAAAGCTGCCACATTTTAAGATATAAAAATAAATAATATAGATAGTATTTTAGATTCTTTCTCCTAATTCCTGCAACTGTATTTGCATCTTTAGTGGCCTTGCAAAATTTCAACACTTTCTATTATAACTTTATTATAAGTATTTATATTGAATATAAATTATAATTATTTGTACTACAAACAAATCTTAAGGCCTATATTGCAGGATGCATTTCTTCAAATTGTTTTTACTTTTTACCTTACCAAATAAAGGAAGCAAAATCCTACAAGATAAGATTATGAGGTTTAGGTAGAAATTCATTTAAAAGTCAGCTAATTGGCATTTTTTTTAACTTTTACCTTCTAATAAGCACTAAATTCTACCACTTAATAAATGGTAATAATTGTTTGGATTCTTCCTTAGATCAAGTTAAAATGATCAAGTTAAAACATTTGTCCTCGTATTAATTTTTTAATGTGCATGAACCATTTCTGCTATATATTTTTTCCTGCTAGAATAATCCCTATAAATGGTTTTGGAAATGTTTTAAATGGCTTAATTTCAAATATATGGGGTGAGTATTTAGTCATCATTGTTCCATCTGTTGCACCATTACAAAATTCTGCATCACTTGTTTTGTGGTACATTAAACAACAGAAGATTGAAAAGCTATTTTGAAGTCATTTATAAATGTGAGTGGAAAACTGAGGAAACACTTGAACAATAAATGACATAGATAAAAATGGTTACAGGCATCATTATATTTCTTATATGTTAATACTGAAGTAAAGCCAGTGTTGAATGAAGTTAAGAATTGTGTAAGAAAGGCCTCTGCTTTGCTATTGATTTCTTATTATTCTCCCCCAACTACATGTTTAAAAATCTAATCTTTAGGTAAACCAGAGACACACTTCCAGATTTCCTGTGTTTTTGAATGAAAGGTGATGCTCAGGTAAAGCCAGAACAGGAACACAAGTCCCTTAAAACATAATCTGGTTATTAAATGCACCTTCATGATTTTTAATTCCAGCCTGATCTAGTAGCTGTGACATTCTTGAATTCTAATAAATAATTTTTAAGAATTAAAAACTTGATTCCACTGAAATCCCAGCAACACTACTTAAGTATTTGTCATATTCTGAGATAAACCACTTTCCATATGGTTCAATTGTCATTAAGAATTTAGACAGGGATGTATCTGATTGGGAATTGGGTCTTATACATTTACATAGCTACTAAATTCTACTAAGTTTTTGTTAGGTACAATTGCCCAAAAAAATCATATGGCATTTTATCACATACCAACTCTCTAGTGACTGGCCCTCACTTGCAATGAAATGAGATAACAGTGAATTGAATTGCATGTGAAGGAATTTCTGGTTTTTAATTCTGTTCAAATTAAATGAAGTTGGTTACAGTATAGTGTTCTTATGAGAAATTTTTATGGATACTATCTTTTTTTAATACAGAGAATTGAAAACAGATTATTTGTAATCTGGGATATAATCTCATTCTGCATGCTTAGAGTAGTTAAAAGCATTTCTAAGTAGATTATGTTGGAATTAAATGTTTAAAATAGACAAATTTCACATTCCTAATTGGCTCTGAGGGTTGAGCTATACAGTGCAAGGGAGTAATACATTCCAAGAGATTTTTTTTCCTCTCTCATCTCAAAAATAAAACATTGCAGTGGCTATTTTAGAGTACTGATTTACACAGGTGTCTTAACTGTCTTAGCCCTTCTCTATAGCTATTGATATTTGGAACTGAAAAGGAGTTTGGATTGCCAGCTGACATATAAATCAGCTTGATATGCAGAAATCTTTTTTTTAACCACATACAGGTCAAGTTATTTGATTCCCACAGGTAAACTGCTCTTTCAATACACTGCAGAAAAAGTTAATAAAATGTTGAAAATATAGCATTATCAGTAAGATAAATTTGTGCATAAATTAGTTGCTATAAATATGATTCCCATTCTGTCTCCCAGGATCAGTGCACTGTGTACTGGCACTGTTGTTTAAGAAATTTGGAAGGGCGATTCCAATAAAATGAGATGCGTATTCACAGGATTTCCTTGCTGCCCCAGATACAGACTTTGAGTGACTCACTATAAAAATAGAGAAACACATAAAGCAGCATTTCAGCATAAAATCCAATGAAGTTAAAATTACAGCAACTACATAGATACATTTTAGGTGATTGGAAATGCCCAACAGGGAGGCGGATTTAAGATGGGATTAGATTTGCATTGTTGCACAGCCACTAGAGCAGGGGTCCCTAACCCCAATCCATGGACCAGCACTGAGCCACAGCATGGCAGAAATCGGGCTGCAAAGAAAGCGGGGTACAGGCAGCATGGAAAAACCTCCATGGAACTGGTCCCTAGTGCCCAAAAGATTGGGTGAGGTTGCACTAGAGAACCAGGACTGACACCACTACGCCCCTCCCAGGTTCCATGGAATCTTATCTATCAGTTCCCAAGAGAAGGCAAGCAATCTGAGGAGATTACTGTATAATAGGCAGAATATAATAAAGTAGTTAGCTTGAACTCTACATGTGTGGATTCGGCTGCTTGCACTTGACAGCATTGTATCTAACAACCGCTTTGTAAATCTGGCCGAGAAGGATCCCATTCCTCAAAAAATGGGCAGTTATCTTATTCTTCCTTAGAGCTACAGCAGCATCCCTTCTCAGTATGGGCAGAATCAAAAAGTACACTGTCACGAAGGTAATAAGGATACAAGCCATAAACCACAGGTATAGGTCATCCCCAGCATTTTGTACTTTGAAAGCTTTTAATAACTAGTGTCATATCATAGCATAGCTGCTACTTTGCTAAAATAATTTTCATCCATAGACAGATTTTTAAACAATTGTAATTTCCCTACATTTTAAAGATCAGCTCCAAGTAGAACACATTATAGTAATCAAGTGTGAACTGATAAGGCTTTGATTGACTGTTATGCAGGTCTCACATTCCACAAGCAAAGATGGTTGGTGTACCAAATGAAACTCGGTAAAGGTCTTGCTGTCCATGTTTGTATTTGCTTTCAAACAGGATCTTGATTCCAGGAGAAACCCAGTGTTCCATCTGATGGAGTTTGACCCAATCTAAAATCAGTGTTGAAACTGACATGAAGCCAGATGACTTCTGGACCTACGGCTATTTTTTTTTTTTTTTTGGCTTGTGATTTAAATTGAATCTGTTTCATTCCATTGAGTCCCTCACAGCTTCCATACACCAGATTGGGATTCTCACTGGGGCTCCTGCTCAACCCAGAAGTAGAGCTGCATATCTGGCAATAGTTGCCTGTTCTTTTTCTGATATTTCCAATAAAAACCCCTAGGAGACTGAGCTAATACAATGCAATGTCCATTTCCTTGGCTTCCAAGGGTTCAAAAGAATGCCAGGTGACTTCACAAGAGATTGCCTCAGTCACCTCATTGGTTTCTGCCCATGATGTGTCCAATTCACATGAGCAATTTTATCCAGAAAATGCCTAGTAAGTCACAGTGGCTTGTAAATCTGCTAGTAGATTCTAAGATGCTGTAAGAATATTACTCTTAATTCTAATTCCTCCCATTCCATGTGTCAATGTTTGTCATAGCTCCCTTTTTAAAAATTTCTTCCTAGTTTCCTTTTCCTTTTCTTCTTTTATGCTTCCATGTTTCATATATTCCTATGTTCATTTCTGCACATTCTGTTCTCCCAAAGAAATCAGAAATAGCAATGAAGTATCCATAAAGTATCTAGCTTCTCACACAGCCTCTTTCATTCTGAAAACAATGTTCTTCGGGCCCACATTTTCAGAAAGAGCTGATTACAGTCCAGCCGTTGGAATAAATGTTGTCTTAAGGAAATGCCACACTTTTTTTTCTTTCACATTATAGAGTAAGATATAGAGTAAGATACACCATGCTAGGATGTGGTTTTAGGATGAGAACTGGCAGATGACTTGACAGTGAGAGAACAGCGGAAATACTTTAAGCTAGAATAATGAAAATTGACAAGCAGGAGTCCTTCAGCTGTTCCTCTTTCTTCCCCCAATCCTCTGTTGCCAAGAAACAGCCTGCTTTCTTCTTTTTCTTCTCTCTCTCTCAAACCATTATTTATCTCTGTCATGGTCTCCCAAAAGTAGTTTCTTAACTAAAAATCTCCCAGCGGTTTCAACTTTCCTTGTAAAGTAGATAGAACAATCTCCTGGTTGTTTTTGATTGTTCCTTTTTGCATTTTAACAGTCATATAGCATTCTATTTATATAACAAAAATCAGATTGTCAAAACTGAAATAAAATACTGTACATAAAATGTACGTTTCTAGCTCTATCTAGTGACCATCCCACTAGAAATAATTCTAGTAATTATTTTTTTTTTCCTGTTAATTGGTTAAAGAAAAGTTTTTTCCTTTTAAAGCTCTGAAACGTCATCTACAACCTCCCTTCATTTTGCGTTTGCCACTATACGTGAACTCATTGAAGAAAGGATCCCTTTGGCCTCTCTGATGTATTTATATAAAGGCAGCGTAGAGGGAAGGAGATTGGTTCCTCCGGCTTGCTTTCTGACCTTGGGGGTTACCAAGTCTGACATTCCTGTGAGATCACATGGCAAGGATTGGCGGGCACAGCTGTCCCCAATGGAAGGGAGGGGCTTGGGAGGGTCCATTCCGATTGAATTTCACTCCAGCCACTTAGGCTCTTTCCTGCTTTCCTCACTGTGCTTTTCTTGTCTTCCACTTTGCTTGTGGCCTGGGTTGTAGAAAGCTCTGGTAGGATAGCAGCACCGAGGATGCTATTCTAGAAGATCAGGGTGGTTGCTTTAACATTTGGGTGGGCCTTTCTTTCTCATCTCCGATTGACATTCCTCCAGGCTGAGCCATCTGAGATTCCGGTGGGCCCTGAGCTTTGGCACTATGCAGTCCATCCTCCTGTTTTAGCACCAACTTCACTGTAATTGTTTCTTTTAGCCCATCTAAACAGCCACTCCGACAGGTCTGCTCTTCCGACAAGTTGGTATATGCAGCTCCGGAGCACAAAGAAGATGGGACAGGACCAGACCAAGCAGCAGATAGAAAAAGGACTCCAACTGTATCAGTCCAGTCAGACAGAAAAGGCCCTTCAAGTCTGGTTGCGGGTTTTGGAAAAGAGCACAGATGCAGCTGGCAGGTTTCGAGTTCTGGGATGCCTCATCACTGCTCATTCGGAGATGGGCCGGTACAAAGATATGTTAAAGGTAAAGCATTCTGATTGGCTGCATGTCTTTTTCTCTTGCTATGTTACGGAGAGGATGGTGGGTAGAAAAGTAGGGCTCCAGATTACAGTTCAGCCACAATCAAACAGCAAACATAGCTGTTTGACATTGGGATTCTTTTAAAATTGCAGATCCTGAAGCCCTGCCAAATTCTTGCCTTTGAAAATTGCCACTCTGCATTTTCACCTGCAGTCCTAGACCTAATGAGCAATCTAAAAGTTTCTCATCTGCAGAATTAAGTATGTTGGGTATTACAGCGTTAGCCATTTGCATATGTACCTGAGGGTTGTGTGGTTTTGCAAAGCTGAGATGCCGTATTCTGTGGCTCTCCTTAATTTTGTAGAATTGTCAGCTGTATAAAATAACTGTAGATTAAACAGTACCGTATATGTGTGTGCAGGTATGTGTGTGTGTACACAAACACATAGTTTATACTAGTGAAGGTAGCTTCCAAATGGCACATCATTAGATTTTTCAGCATTATTTATTTGAATAGAACATTCTCTTTTTTTCTGTTCAAAATAACTACTTTCACAACGTGATGATTGCCGTAGAAACCACCCAGATCTCTTTTCAGAGTGAGATGGGTAGCATATAAATCTAATAAATGAATAGATGCGCTGAGAAGTTGTTTTCTATTAAATGTTGCTTTGGAAGATCTTAAATTCGAGATCTTCTTACTTTTGGGTAAATACTGCAGAAATCTGTCATCATTTTCAATATACGTTGCCTTGAATCCAAAAGTCTTTTCTTTTTAATTATTATTTCTGTTTGAGGGGTGAGGAGGAGTTTTACAAGGCAATCCAGAAATCCAGAGTTGAGATGAGATGTGAATTACGATTTTTCTATTCTCGATTCATTATCTTGTGGATGCAACTTTAGATCATCTGGAAAGTAGGAAAGAGAAACCTGTGGAAAATCTAATGTAATATTGAGTTAGAACTCTGATCCCCCAACACCACTGGTGTTGTACAGTGTACAGACTTACAACAGTTCATTTAGTGACTGTTTGAAGTTACAATGGAACTGAAAATAGTAACTTATGACCATTTTTCACACGACCATTGCAGCATCCCCATGTGGTTGCAGTGTCCTAGGGTCATGTGGTCACCTTTTGCGACCTTCTGACTAGTAAAATAAATGGGAAAGCCAGATTCACTTAACAACCGTATTACTAATTTAGCAACGGTGGCATGCAAGGTCGTAAAATGGGGCAAAATTCACGTAACAAATGTCTCGGTTAGCAACTGAAATTTTGAGCTCAGTTGTAGTGATAAATCGAGGACTACCTCTATTTGTCATTTAGAAATATACCCATTATCTGATTAAACATTATATAGACTGCTATATTTGTATTGTACAATTTGGGTTGCAAATGGTTTTAAGAAGTTTATTAAGGGATCAAGACTGATAAGCCTGTGGGCTTTCAATTAAGGTATATTTGTGTTAATGGCCCCCTTGATGAAATATTGAGGAACAATATTTCTTGCAGATGTAGTAGTAACTTGGTTGTAGAGCAGGGTTTAGGATTTAAATCTACATCCAAATGGGATCTATAAACATTAAACAAAAAAGAGAGGTTCAACTACTTTTGGAGGGACTGACTAGAGCAGGGGTGTCAAATCATGTCGTCATTGAGGTGTCATGTGACGTATTGGGACTTTTTTCCCCTTCGCTAAACCGGGTGTGGGCATGGCCAGTATGTAACGCATCCGTCCTGTGGGCTGGGAGTTTTGACACCCCTGGACTAAATATTTCTAACATTAACTCTTCAGTTTATGGGAAGATTTTTTTAAACTAACTGAGAGATCATGCATAGAACAAAAGATTAGAGTGTTGTTATAACAGCTGATACCAGTTGCTGATTGGATGATAGGAAAAAAAATATTTTATAAGGAAGAAGAGTTCATCCATCCATTGATATTTTGAGGAGCATTCTAGATTGCAAATTTGTATTATTAGGTTTTCAGCCCCATTTTTAAAATCCTCCACTCTCTTTTTTAATAAGATGTTACAAAAAGCAGACTGGGGAAAGGAATAAAAAGATATAATGCTGAAGTCAGTAAATCTGCGTGTTCATAAATTGTAATATAAGTTTCATAAATTCACAGAAGTTTGAACCTGATGTGTTGATCTGACTCCAGACTGTTAGGATGGATGGTGTTTTTGAAAACACAATATGCAAGTAGATATTCTTTCAGATGTTTTGAAGGAGACTATCTATACAGAGTATCTATACAGCTTTTATAAGTTTTAAACTAGCTGGATACCCATGCTTTGCTACAAAACTATGTGATGGGGCTTGATAAATTGACACTTACAGCTTGAAACTTAATGAGTAGTTACAATCGGCCTCTCCTCTCCCCTTCTCTCCCTCAGCCTTGCCTGACAGAATCCTCCCCAATCCTATCCCCTTCTCTCCCTCAGACTTGCCACAGAATCCTCTCCTATCCTATTCCCTTCTCTCCCTCAGCCTTGCCCCACAGAAACATCTCCTATCCTATTCCTTCTCTCCCTCAGACTTGCCTGACAGAATCCTCCCTATCCTATCCTCTTCTCTCCCCTCAGCCTTGCCCCACAGAAGCCTCTCCTATCCTATTCCCTTCTCTCCCTCAGCCTTGCCTGACAGAATCCTCCCCTATCCTATCCCCTTCTCTCCCTCAGACTTGCCCCACAGAATCCTCTCCTATCCTATTCCCTTCTCTTCCCTCAGCCTTGCCCCACAGAAACCTCTCCTATCCTATTCCCTTCTCTCCCTCAGCCTTGCCTGACAGAATCCTCCCCTATCCTATCCCCTTCTCTCCCTCAGCCTTGCCCCACAGAAACCTCTCCTATCCTATTCCCTTCTCTCCCTCAGCCTTGCCTGACAGAATCCTCCCCTATCCTATCCCCTTCTCTCCCTCAGCCTTGCCCCACAGAAGCCTCTCCTATCCTATTCCTTCTCTCCCTCAGCCTTGCCTGACAGAATCCTCCCCTATCCTATCCCCTTCTCTCCCTCAGCCTTGCCACCCAGAAGCCTGTCCTATGCTATCCCCTTCTCTCCAGAGTTATTTTCAAGTTGGGAGGGGGGAGTAGAACGTCTAACTAATTAGCATCAGAGCATGTTATAATAATATAGGAAATACTAATGCTCTGATGGTCATTTCGAAAAATTCTTTCTTAGTGAGCACCTAGAAGCCAAGAGGAACATACATGGCAAATTTCAAGTTTGTAGGCTTTACGGTTTTGGAGATTTCATGAGTGGTTTTTGTTTTTATATATATAGATTGATAACGTATTAAAGTAGTTTGGTTAAAATGGTAGGAATCAAAGGAAAAAAAATAAATTGGGATCTGAAAGGGATTTTTCGATTATTATAATTTATTTTTATCCTGATTTCCTCCAAAGAACTCAAGTGAAATTTGTTCTGTGAACTCCATTGCCAATTGAGTATTTCAGTCCATATCTCCACAGTTCTGGTTATAACAGTACTTTCTGTGCTGAATTAGCTCTTTAGTCTATTCTGGCAGAATTCATCACAGACAATTTGCTTAGAAGTGCTGTGCAAAGCATTTGAAAGAGGCCCTTTGAAAAACACATCCCAAAGAATATGGCTAGTTTAACACTTTGTACACAGGTACCCTGCTAGTACTAACTTATATGCAAAATGTCTGTTTCGAATGCTTTGTACAGACCTGTTGTTCAGGAACTGATTTACAGAATATGTTTTATCTATAGGATTAAAGGGCTTATCCGGGCAGTTGCCACAAAATAACACTTAATTAGAAAACACATACATACATACATACATACATACATACATACATACATACATACATACAGTATATAGCAATAGCATTTAGACTTACATACTTCTTCACAGTGCTTTACAGCCCTCTGTAAGCGGTTTACATAGTCAACATATTGCCCCCAACAGCCTGGGTCCTCATTTTACCAACCTCAGTAGGATGGAAGGCTAAATCAACCTTGAGGCAGTCAGAATCGAATTCCCGGAGTAAGCAGTAAGTTAGCCTTCAGCACCACTGTGCCATCACAGCTTAATACATACATACATGCATACATGCATACATACATACATACATACATACATACATACATACATACATACATGATAGCAACACTAACTGTAAATCACCCTGAGTCCTAGGATAAGAACAGATCAGCTAGAAGCTGACTGTGATATGAAAAGAGATAAAATGGCATTAGAAGGCCTTTAGGAAGAAAATAAAATGCAGTTTGAGAATGCAAATATGTGAGGCTTACTTTAATCTATATAGGATATTAGGAAAGAGAAGAAATTGCTTTTTCTTTTGTACTGTTAAGTACAGTATTAAGAGTTAAATACTACTTTGGAAATACTCTTCTCTCTTTTCATATGATTCCCCTTTGTCTTCAAAACAAACTGTTCATCAGGGTTAGAAATGTCTAGAGGAAGGGGAAGGAGCTTCTTCTGAACCTTCTCCATACAGGTCAGCATTTCAGTTTTCTGCCAGAAGTTAATTGAAGACTGGTTTTAAAAGCATTTTATTGCTTATATTGAAAGAGAGACTCCTAAATATCCAGATGCTGTGGATGTAGTTTTACTCAGTATGAGTACCAGGCAACTGCAGCCCAGATCCATTTAATTTCTTTCTTGAACATGTGCAGAGAAAGAAATTAGTAAAACAAAATCACCAAGACAAGGCTGTATGTAAAAATACATTAATAGGAAATAAAAACAACAGGTTATTTAAAGTAATATTATTTAGCTTACTTACACAATTTTCCTTTCATCATTTCTAAATTTCATTTAAGTGAAAAGAAAAACAACCATATCCTTTTTAATTTTTTATTAAAAATTGGATTATTTTTCCAAAAGCAGACAATCAAAGCATATGCAAATATGATACGACATTCCTTAGCATTTGACTGCTTTCCTGAGCCACTATTTTGCACACGGCGCCATTTACTTTATAGCAAAAAAACAAGGTAAGTTTTGTAACCCTGAGCCTTGTCTGCCACAGAGTAGGTCCAAATTGTCAACTCCAATTGTCAACTCCAAATCCAATTGTTTATCTTGATGTGAATATTGTGGTTGGCTCTATTCTGAATTCATTATAGTTGGTGAAAGTGTCAGAACCACTAGAGATGGCAAAATTAGCCAGTTTGATTAGAGAGAGATGAATAATTACATTTATCAGTGATTGGAAACCCCTTTTGAACTTTTTACTAAAAAAATGAATTTATGATTTATGGGTTTATGGTTAGCTTCTGGAAAGAAGGAAATTACGAAGTAACCTTAGAGAAAAAAAGTGTAAAATATAAATGCCTTTATAACTGCTGCCCAAAAGATCAGAAGCCACTTCTTTATTTTTTTTTCTATTTTCTTTTACTTATTCACTATACTTTCTTACCTTCTTTGTTTCTTTTTTGTATTGGTTTTAATCTTGTTTAAAAATTAATCAATAAAATTAAATAATCAATAAAATTACACAAATTCATTATGACTGAAGTTTAGGATTAGATTTGTTGCTTCTTAAATGTTATGTTCTTTTGCTAAAAGTTTGCAGTCATGCAGATTGACACTGCCCGAGAACTGGAGGATCCTGACTACCTTACTGAGAGCTACCTGAATTTGGCACGGAGCAACGAGAAGCTTTGCGAATTCCCCAAAACCATCTCCTATTGTAAGACCTGCCTGAACATGCGAGGTACAACATTGGGCCTGCAACTAAATGGCCAAGTCAACCTCAGCATGGGCAATGCCTACCTTGGCCTCAGTGTCTTCCAAAAAGCTCTGGAGTGTTTTGAGAAAGCTCTACGATATGCACACAACAATGATGACAAGATGCTTGAGTGTCGCGTCTGTTGCAGCCTAGGAAATTTCTACACACACCTCAAAGTGAGTATTGCAGAAATGACAAGAAAATGTAGATCAGAAGTTTTAGAAATGCAGATGGAAGAAAAGGAAATGCAGATACTTTTCCAACTGTCTGGAGGATTGTACAGATGGTAGATTGAACCTAGAATGCAGGGGTTTCCACCTGTTTTCTTTCTGTGAACCATAACTTTGTGATCTGAAGCTTGTGAGGACCATCACATAAATCAGAGCTCAAGTGCATGGTGTTTGGGGAAACAATGCCATACATCAGGGGTGGGCAACTGTGGCCCTTTTACAACCTGTGGACTTCAACTCCCCAGAATTCCTGAGACAGCCAAGCTAGCTCAGGAATTCTGGGAGTTGAAGTCCACAGGTTGTAAAAGGGCCACAGTTGCCCACCCCTGCCATACACGACTCCTCTAAAATGGTATCTCTGGGATGGCAACATTAAATAAAAAATAATGTTTTGATTAGGTAAGGCCTGAAATCTTGCAAATTTGCTTAGTTTCACAACTTTTTAGAATTATGATCTAAAATCTTTGAGACATCAGGGAAAATGTGAAAATATTGTGTAGCTTTGTAATATTGTGGAATTTTGGCTATTAGTTTGGTGCCCACACAAGATCCTAGATACAACCCTTCGTAAACTCCTGCCTCAATGGAACTATTGTTTCAACTCACATATTTAGATAGGGGAAATCTTCCAGAAAAAGTTAGATTGTTGTATCACAGATTGCCATTTTGCACATGCATATTATTTGTCAGAAAATTAGAGGTTGATTAGCTAATGGAAAGACTTAAATATTATTTTTCTAATTTTATCATTCTATTTTATTACAGTCTATTTTTGGATATGAAACAAAAGAACACTGAGAAATCATAGTAAATATCAGTATATTTTTCACCAGTCTAACAATAAACGTAAGAAAGGAGAAAGCTTTTCTGATATTTCAAGGATTTGATCACACAATCATTTTCATATTATTATAGCTTAAAGTAGTATCACATAATATGATAACATACAACCTGTTCTATGCTAATGCTTATGGATCCATTTGTGAGACAAGATTATCAAATGTATAACTTAATATCTATTACATATTGCTGTATGTAAAGTTCTTGGAGAACATTCCTTATTTTGATAATGTTTTGAATATGAAATTTAAAGCATTTAGCTATTTCTAGAAAAATTCATGCCCTCAACATTAACATTGCTTATTTTGGTATAAATTTGGATAAGTTTACTTACAATAATCATTTTTCAATCATCTTATTGTGAACTCAAATGAAGTGCGAGGACTTGCCTTATCTTAACAGAGACTTAGGATATATAGACTAGTTTTCCTACTTAGTGGAAACTTGCCATATTGAACTCTCATTACACATTTCAGAACGTGTACGTGTATAATCCACATGTGTTACAGTACTATCACCAGTTCATTTTTTTTAACCAGAAAAATATAATTAATGGGGTAATCTTATATTCCAAAGAATTTACCATTCCCAAACTCCATGTTAGTGTTTCTTATAAAAGCAGGTTGAAACCATGGCTTTTTTCACTATAATTTTTAAAGCAATCAATCTAGGTTAAAGGTTGTCATAAACATTATTCTTTGGTGGATTTATATCCTACCATTAACCATAGAAAAATCAAAACCAGTCAAAACAGCTTAAAAGATTTCATAGCTTTAAACAATCATACCTTTTATCATTTCTGCAGCCTTTCTGTATCTTTCCTTTCAACCTCACTCCTTGCTTCTTCTTCTCTTTTCAAGGATTATGAAAAAGCTCTGTTTTTCCCATGCAAGGCAGCAGAACTGGTGAATGATTATGGAAAGGGCTGGAGTTTAAAGTACCGAGCAATGAGCCAGTTCTACATGGCCGTAGCTTATCGAAAGCTGGGGCGCTTGCCAGATGCTATGGAATGCTGTGAGGTACAAGCACAGGTTTTTGGAGTAGGGGGAAGTCTACTTGGTAAAGTTAAAGGGCTCTCCAGTTTTGGGGGAGGGGTTGCATCACTTTCTGAAGAAAGCAGATTTGACCACATTGAGTTATGCTTAAACCACTTTTTTGTTTAGACTATTGCAGCAAACCGATTAGTTTTTGGTGTGTTTTGTTGGCTGTACTACAGCCATCTTGCAGTAACTGCATCCACTGTCAATACAGTTGTTTTTGGTTATAAAGCCCCATTATGGGGCAAAAAAATTGAAAGCCATCTTTATCTATAAACATCAGTACACACCACTATTTTTTAATAAGAACACAGATTACTTTCTTTGGTGGAAGAAAGTGGTTTTTGAACTGCGAAGGAACCCAATAAACTCCGAAGCAAAGGCAAAGTATTTTGACTGTTTGAGGAAGGTCCAAGCTGCATAACCTACCTCTTCCTTCAACCATTTAATTTGTTAAAACAATTTGGGAGAAGGGATGCTGTCTTTAATGTGGGTTGTGAATAGGACAAGACATCCTTTCCTTCATTCAGACGCCCATTTCCCAAGGTCACAATTTAGAACCTAGTATGTGATAGAAGTTCAACTTGAGTTCAAATTCTGAAAGCTTGTCTTATTAGGAGTCAATGAAGACTGCCCTTCAGCATGGAGATCGTCCTTTGCAAGCACAGTGCCTGCTCTGCTTTGCTGATATCCACCGCAGCCGTGCAGATGTACAGGTATGACCCTCTCCTATGAAAGAGGCTGCCTGAGAGCAGTAGTGGACAGCAACTGACACATTTTCTTACAACCCAGACAGCTTTTCCCCGCTATGATTCCTCCATGAGCATCATGACTGAGATTGGAAACCGTCTGGGACAAGTTCAGGTGCTGCTTGGTGTAGCCAAGTGCTGGTTGATGCAAAAGGACCTCGACAAGGTCAGTAGTAAGCTGAAACTACAGCCTATTAGATTCATTTGCATTTTTATGAGCCACCAAAATGGGCTCTAAAATGCACGAAGGTTTTTTTTTCCTATGGACAATCTTTCTGTCCACATAGTAACATCCATACCGAGGAAACAAGTGTTCAGCTTGTATTCAAAACTGTTTATCCAATGTACCTTTTAATGAATACCCTAGTTGTGTGACACAGTTATCTTTAAGCAAAATGAATAAATGGAGTAGTGCTGGGATTCATCATGGGCTGCCTTAACAAATATGATTTACTCATTGTAGTTGAGCATCTAGAAATGATCAACTTAAAGTTGTTTTCTCATAAGATATGCTGACCCCAGAAGTATACATGCCATTTCCTTTCTGACATTGCAGGAGACACTAAAAACCATTGCTTATCAGCAGGTCTTAGGCCCAGAATGAGAACCTGTGGGCTACCCAGCTAGTTTTAGGGCTATAGTTGGTTTAATGTGAAGAGCATTATTAATATTTATTAGGGTTATTAACTATGGCTTGTACACTGCCCAGAGTCTACTGATAATATATACATAAATATAAATAGTTATGTATAATTTGGATACCATGTAATCTTGGCTCTTGGCAATTTCATAAACATAGGCAGTTTTCTTGGAAACATTGTGGAAGTGGTTTGACATTTCTTCTTCCAGGATGCTTTTCAAATCCCTAGGGCTGACTGTCAGGTCTAGGGCTGAGAGTGACTGACACAAAATGACCTATCTGGCTCAGTAGTAGGATTCAAATCCCGGCACTACCAGTTCACTATTGGGAGCGTGCAGGCTTGCTTTGTGTGCACGCGGGGCACAAAGTTCTGTGCAGAAGAACTGCGCATGCGCAGAATGTTCTATGCATGCGCAGTGTGTTTTTGATGAAATCTGGGTGGGTGGGCGGAGCCTCCCACCACCGCTACCGGTTTTCCTGAACCGGGGCGAACCGGTAGTAACCCACCCCTGATCTGGCTTCTGTTCCTGTATTCTTGCTCTTAATCCAGTGTCTTTAATTACTACAGCAAACTGGTTCTTTTGTGTACATGTACATGTGTATGTGTATATGTATTTATGTATATATGTTTTTCCTCTAGCCAGGTTTTCCCTACGTAACCAAGGTTTTTCTGCAGTACCAGCTCAGTAGAATCACATCCACTCGATTCTGGGCTTTTTTCTTTTCTAACAGCTAGCAAGCTCTTCCTGCTAGGTGGGAGACCTATATAGATCTATTTCTAGCTCATTTGCTTTCATCAGTAGGCCACACCCACATCTTATGTATCCTCCCTGTGTTTATGTATATATTTTATAGAGTATATGCACAATAGTTTTGTATATGTGTAGTATTTATTTACCTATTCTAAAATAGAGGGAGTAAATCTTTCTTTGTATTACCTAGACTTCCAGGGATTAGGTTAATGCAGTTCTCCCTATCTTGGCACCCTCTGAACCTCAGGTACATATCACAGATTCAAGCAACAAGTTCTTCAGAACCACCACGTATTTCAAGACATCTTACATACCTTGGCACCTCACCCTCTTCACCTATAAACACTTCGTAGCATGGGGCCTGATTACTTGATGGACTACCTTTCCTTTGGTTAAACAGTGTCGTCTATTAGCACCCAGGAAGCAAGCCTTTTATTGTTGTAGGACTTACTCTTAAACAGCATCCTTCCTGAGATCTGCATGGCTCCTGCCCTGATCGTGTTCAAGATGTCTTTGAAAACCTGGCTTTTCCTCCAGGCCTTGGGTTTGGATAGTTATCAAGTCCTAGGATTTTATTTGTCTAGTTTTTTTCCCTGGATGCACATGACTTACATTCATACTGCTTTATTGTTTTAATTATCTTAATTATCATTAAGATAATTATCTTAATGTTGTAAAATGCCCAAAGTTTTATGGAGTTGACTCAAATACATGTATGTTCTGCTTTCTACAGGCATTAGAAAATATTGAGAGGGCTCATGAGCTGGCAGAGGGACTAGGAAACAAAGTAAGTTGTCCCGTCTGCATTTTTTTTTACTATATCCATGATAAACTGTAAGTTCTGTTTAATGTGAGTTTATCTATGTATGTCATAATTCTGCCTGATAACAGACCTCCAAGGTTTTGAAAATGTAATTACGTACCCAAATATTATGTTGAATCATTAATAACCCACTAATATCATGAGGGAGGGATAAACAGTGATGGCCCATATTTGTGTTCCAACCCTTTAGACATTGTTGATGAGGTTCTGTCGCTCATCAGAAAAATAGCTCTCCCATGAGGGTTACATAGCAGAATGGAAAGCTAGCATCAGATGTTTTGATTCTGGGTAGTGGGGCATCTCCTAAAGTGGAATAATTGCAGCTCCTGACTTCTGAACAGTAGGGTATTTAATTATGGCTTTGGAAAGATGATGCTAGGAAAGACTATATCTTAACCCAAAGATCCTGAAACAATTCGAACCTATGGTTTTTGTGGCATCAGGGATATCCACACAAAATTTCTTGCACTGAGAAATCCAAGCCCTAAACATTCTATGTTGCTAGCATTATTCACATGGAACTCATCAGAAGGGAGGATTTTGAAAAAAAGTGATTGCTGAATGTATAAGATAAAATGAAAAGTGAAATCACCCATTTTCCCCCAAAGTACAAATAGGAATGGTAAGAAGCAGTTTGGGAAGAGGAGGCAACAGATGGCCAAAGAAAAGAAGGATCTGTCTGACAGTTGGTGAGCTTCTGCTAAATAAAATAAAAAGCAGCAGAAGGGATGAGAAAACCACACATTTCAAACACTTAAAAGATGCCATGCTTTGGATAATCAGGAACCAGGAATGAGCTGGGCCCATGGAGTGCCTCCTTTATAATGTTCTCTTCATGTGATTATTTTTCTTTGTCTTCTCTTTTCTGCAGCTTTGCCTGCTGAAGGTTCATTGCCTCTGTGAAGGGATCTATCGCACAAAGGGTCAGCAGAGGGAACTTCGTAATCACGTGGTGAAGTTCCACGAATGTGTTGAGGAAATGGAACTCTACTGTGGCATGTGTGGTGAATCCATTGGTGACAGGAACCACCAGCTCCAGGCATTGCCCTGTTCCCACGTTTTCCATTTAAAGTAAGGGGCAAAAGGGGGGAATGCAAACCATGCTGGAATAAGAGAAAGCAAAACCCTAAAGGCAAAAAAGGGGAATGAAACAAGGAAGTTCTGTATTATCATTCATGATTTTTAAAAATCCCTTTCTACCACTCCATTGAAACAACAACTTATCTCTGAAACCTTTATCCTTGAAAGCTGGGATACTTTTCCCAAAATTGATTTTTAATCTCCTACTTAGATTTCCTTCTCAAGAATGCATTATTTTATCAATGTCTTAGCTGGCTTCTTACAGTCCAATTTTAATGAGTTCTGACTTAGGTATAATATCTGTCTACTTAGAGGTAGAATCAGGGGAACAAGCTTGAGAGTCAGACTCCCAAAACTCATGACCCATTGAGCCAAACACAGTTATCAGCTGTGGTTAATAACTTGCCAGCAGCCCTGTTTACACTGCCTATCCAAAAATAGACAAAGCAGGTATATATTAAGCATGCAGCGGAATGTTCTAACTTGGTCAGAAGCTGCATTTAATTAGACATCACAAGTTGTCCAGTCCTTTGCTACACAACGTGATTGAATTGAATGTGTGTTGCGATTATTCCCTTTTTTTCCTGGTGCTTTCTCATTCAGTCATCTATGCATTAGAAAGCTGACAGCTAGAAAACTAACAAGCTAGAATTGCAGAGATGTTAACAAATGTGCTTTCCATTTAAAATATGCACTTGAAGAAACAATTTAGCTGAAAACTTAATACTATTACATACACAAAACCTGTATATGTAGTATATGCACATACTACATATATGTAATGAGAGAGAGAGGGAGACAACAAGCACTGGCATTCTTGTTCTTCTGTTATTGGAACATTCAGAATGTGCAGGGTTTGAGAAATATTATCAGCTACATGTAACGTTTCCTCTTCTGGATGTAGAATCCATGCACATAACAATTGAATTGGGTTGAAAGATAAGGTGAGTACTTTTCTGTACCAGGTAGTCCTCGACTTATGACAACAATTGAGCCCAAAATGTCTGTTACTAAGTGAGACAGCTGTTCAGCGACTTTTGTCCCATTTTACAACCTTTCTTACCACAGTTGTTAAGTGAGTCACTGCATTGTTGTTAACTTAGTAATACAGTTATTAACTGAATCTGGCTTCCCCATTGACTGTTTGTCAGAAGGTCACATGACTTTGGAATATTGCAGCCATCATAAATATGAATCAGTTTCCAAGCATCACCTTTAGGATATCCTAAAATCAGGTAAAAACCAAGAACTAGCGTCGTATCTAGATCCGTTCCAGTCGGGCTTCAGACCTGGGTACAGCACGGAAACGGCATTGGTCGCGTTGGTTGATGATCTCTGGAGGGCTCGGGACAGGGGTTGTTCCTCTGTCCTGGTCCTGTTAGACCTCTCAGCGGCTTTTGATACCATCGACCATGGTGTCATGCTGCACCGGCTGGAAGGGTTGGGGGTGGGAGGCACCGTTTTACGGTGGTTCTCCTCCTTTCTCTCTGACCGGTCGCAGTCTGTGTTGACAGGGGGGCAGAGATCGACCCCGAGGCCCCTTATATGTGGGGTGCCGCAGGGATCGGTTCTCTCGCCCCTCCTGTTCAACATTTATGTAAAGCCGCTGGGCGAGATCATCCGTGGTTTCGGGGTGAAGTACCATCTGTACGCTGACGATACTCAGCTGTACATCTCCACCCCGGATCACCCCAACGATGCTCTTGAAGTGATGTCCCAGTGCCTGGAGGCCGTACGGATCTGGATGGGGAGAAACGGGCTCAGGCTCAACCCATCCAAGACCGAGTGGCTGTGGTTTCCGACGTCCCGATATAGTCAGCTGGCGCCATCGCTGGCTATTGGGGGCGAATCATTGGCCCCCACGGAAGGGGCTCGTAACTTGGGCGTCCTCCTGGATTCACGGCTGTCTTTAGAAGAGCACTTGACGGCCGTGACCGGGAGGATTTTTCATCAGGTTCGCCTGATTCGCCAGTTACGTCCCTTTCTAGATCGGGACTCGTTACGCACAGTCACTCATGCCCTCGTCACCTCTCGTCTGGACTATTGTAATGCTCTCTACATGGGGCTCCCCTTGAGGTGCACCCGGAGGCTCCAACTGGCGCAGAGTGCCGCCGCGCGGGTGGTTGTGGGAGCAACATGGAGCTCCCATGTAACACCTCTCCTGCGCGAGCTGCACTGGCTCCCGGTGGTCTTCTGGGTGCGCTTCAAGGTTCTGGTTACCACCTTTAAAGCACTCCATGGCTTAGGACCTGGTTATCTACGGGACCGCCTACTACCACCAACAGCCTCCCACCGACCAGTACGCTCCCACAGAGAAGGGCTCCTCCAGGTGCCGTCGGCCAAACAATGTCGGCTGTCGGCCCCTAGGGGGAGAGCCTTCTCTGTGGGGGCACCGACGATCTGGAATGAGCTCCCCCCAGAGATACGGAGGATCCCGGATCTGCGCACCTTCCGCCGCGAGTTGAAGACGCTTTTATTTCATCAAGCGGGCCTCGCCTAAATTTTCTCCCTTTTAAATGAAAATTTTAAATTTTTAATTGTATTTTAAAATTATGGGTATTTTAAATTATGGGTATAAATTCAGCCAAATTTATTTAATCTATTTTATTCGATTTTAAATTTTGTATATTTATGTGTTTTATTTCATGGCTGTACACCGCCCTGAATCCTTCGGGAGTAGGGCGGTATAGAAATTCAATAAATAATAATAATAATAATAATAATAATAATAATATACTTATCAGTCAAAAAATAAGTTGCATCAGGGTGGCATAGACTCAACTGCATTAACTGTGGACCTAATGGGAAACTTTCAGGTCATTCCTTCTTCAGGTTTTAATTTGTACTGTGCATAAAAAGCATTGTTAAGAATTGATAACCTGTGTTACCCTCCCCTCAACTGAAATAAATACCGTATTTTTCAGATTATAAAATGCACTCCTCCCCCCCCCAAAGTGGGTGGAAATGTCTGTGCGTCTTATACAGCAAATATTGCGGCGGGGGGGTTGGTGCGCTGATCAGCCGATGAATGGGCCGCAGCAGCAGCAAGCGAACAGTGGTGGCGGCGAACGGGCGGCGGCAACAGGAGGCAGAGGCCAATTTTTTTTTTCTTGTTTTCCTTCTCTAAAGCTAATGTGCTTCTTATAGTCCGGAGTGTTTTATAGTCCAAAAAATACGGTATATAGAATCATAAAAGCAAAATATAAATAGATTCTGAATCTACCTCTGGATTGGAAGAATTGCTTCAAACAAAATGCCTAAAATTGATGGTAAGAAATAGTCTGTTTAGATTTAACTGCTGTATCATGAGAAGCGATGCACATTGGCAGATCAAATAGATGCAGGAGATCTAGAAAAGCGTTGATATATTTATCCTGTTTTTCTTTTCAAACTGAGCACTCAACCTGAGTAAAGGAATAACTTGGACAGCCTTTTGTAAACAGAGCTATCAGGGCCCACATTACAAGAAAAATAGCAAATGAACTCATGGATGAGTGCTTTTGGAAGCCAGGGTCTGACAGCGAGGTTAACTTTAGAGTGCACTAAATAGCACTGCAAATATTCAAAAACCAAAATATTTCTGGGAAACAAGTTGCCCTGGCCATGACAAATAGTGAATGAGCTAAAACACATAGTGTTGCAAAGCTGTTCAGCCTTCTTCAGTAAAGAAAACGGGATCTGCAACAGTTTTGGCAAACAGCAAAATGAAACAAGTAACTACTGTCTTTAAAACTAAAAATCAGATGTGTGGCAAAATGCTCTTAAGAAGAATGTTCACTGCTTAACATGTTAATCATTGCCTGTTGAGAGAAATGAAGGAAGATTAACACTTTGGAAAATCTAGTTCAGGGACAGGGAATCTTTAGTTCATTCTTGTACGTGGCCCTACAGAGGCTTTTGCCTTATAAGAAGAGAATGTTATGAGCAACCATCCTCTGCCTATTTTAATTCTCAAGGAGATGGGTAGCCACCTCACCATGCATTAACAGCTGGATCAAGACATCACCCTAAGGAATGTAAGAGATAAATTGTATATTAGAGTAAATGCATTCAGTTACTAGGTTTTCTGTCACCTAAATCAGTTTCTCTTCTTATAAATCTGGTTAAAGAAGATAAGGTGAAAATCTTGATTTTGGCTGTAAATGGCTGCAGAGTTCGACATTAATTTTAGCAAGACATTTTTTTCCTCTTGGGGATAGAAGTTAATTTCATGTTAGTGATCTAGACCATGGCAACCAAATAGTCACCAGTGCCACATTTCAACACTACCTACAGAAAAAAATGTTCAGATGTTTTGTGCTTGTACAGTAATACTTTGCAAATTGCAACCCTCTCTTTTTTCCTGGGATCAAAGGAAAACATTACAGGTACAGATAAAAAGTAGTGGTTCTTTTTCCAGTGTTAACCAGATTATTTTTATGTGGTAAAAAAAATTAATGCAAGAAGAAAATAAATTGGATCCAGTGTACTTTGTTACTAAGTCTCTTTAAAATCAGAACAAATTATCATTCTAGTCCTATTGCAATCAGAGATTAACATTCATCAAATTTTATTCTGCATTGCAACAATATATGTTGCTAAACACAGAGAGCTGGGTTATTCCCAAGTAGCTTGTGAATATATAGTATAATGGATTGTGGAAGAGAGGGCAGAAGGTTCATTATTGCTGATATAATTAATAATTTTTAAAAAGGTAAGTACCTAAATATTGTAGCTTTAAGAGACCAAATATAGCAATATTCAATATATCCTCAAAGCACAAAAAAGCAGCAGTTAAAATGATGTTCATATTATTGGTTCCCTTCTTGAAGTAATCAAGTAAAATGAAATGCTTCTCAGTTAATTCAAATAATTTCAAATGAGTGAATTCCAATTAAATTATCATTGTTTCAATTATTGTTCATTTCAAGTATGTATTTTAATTATATTTGTTTATGTTGCATTTCTTTATAGGAATAGAAAGATAAGATAGCCTTAAAATATTAAGGAATATATTACAGTATTTAAAACAATCACTTCAATGAAAAATGCAGGAAATCACAGCAGAAAAAGTCATGACCTCCTCCATCAGGATTTGGAATGTAAAATTGAACATTACTCAGACTCCTGCCTAAGATATTCCCTACTGTCTTTTCCACTGCAGGTGCCTGCAAACTAATGGAACACGAGGTTGCCCCAACTGCCGGCGTTCATCAGTTAAACCAGGGTTTGTGTGATCTGCTGATGAACTGTTGACCTAAGAGAATTCATCCAGTAGGTGTGAAAAGATGGAGCACTGGACCAGTTCTGTTACATGATCTAGAGATGAAACCCATCATATAGATACAAAATCTCCTACAGAATTGGTGGCAAATGAAGACCTAGATCTTTGTCATGACTTTTCACACATCTGACTTTTCACACCTCTTCCAGGAATTCTGTGTTATCTCCTTTTTCAAAGGAGAGACAATAAGCCACCTTCGCTCCTTCAACAACGTGTTAACTTGACCTTCCAAAATCTCAATTTGATTTTAATTTTGTGCTTCTTTTGATAGCTTCCTTCAGGGCCAACTCTGACACTCATACTTCACTTTTTATTCATTCCTCATGGGAAGCATACTGATCCTGCCTACATACATAATGCTTCTTGGACTGGCACAGTATTGCTTTCTTGTAGGCATGGTGACAGCTACTCTTTTCCAGACATTGTTTGAAGTTACTTCAACTTAACATTCTGACTGATGTTTTTCGTAATTTATATTGGTACCTAACAGCTGTTAATGCTTTAAAACAACTGTTAAGCCATTCATAATACGTCTTTTTCCATTTGCAAAGAATATTTCCCAACTTGATGCTCTCCAAATGATTTCCAGAATTTTTGGGTAGCCTGGGAATTATGGGATTGAAAGTCCAAATTGTCTGGAAGGAGCCAAATTGGGCAATTTTATGTCAGTCAAGAGACTGTGATGTCCCACCTGCCTCTCTGCAATGTAACTCTTTCAGTATGTCTCTATTTTCAGTGTATAGGCTCCTTCAGTTCTTCTGAAAGTATCTGATACCTTTAGTTTGCCTACATTCTCACAGAACATTCAATTTCTGCATGGGACTGGGGGGGTGGGGGGAGCCTTGTAGTGTCCCAGGGAATGTTTCTTGCCTTTGTGTTCCTTTCCTATCATCTTGTAATGTTACATGGGCAGTGATCGGTCCAATCATGGAATTGTCAGCAATATATTTATACTTTCTGTAACTGTTTATACTGGAATAAATAAAATCATAGCCTAGAAGTGAGTGTTTTCTAAAGTTGTAGCTATGTTTTCATCTTTCAGAAACCGCAGAAAGAAAGAAAAAAGATGTATTTTGACTAAATATATATGTATGTTGTGGGGGATATATATTAGTGATGGTATGAATCATCTAAAAAATGGCCCAAAGGCACTAGCAAAGAAAGATCAAGGACAGATACTTGTATGCCCAGGGCACGATCAAGATAAGGGCAGATTTAGAACCTACAATATTCTAGGGAGCTAGAAGATTCTATAGTTCATAGAATTATATGTTGAAGGAATACAGGCAGAATTCAAGAAGCTGGAGTTGTAGGAAAGAGGCATCAGCAGGGGCTCAAGAGAAGGAAGGAATATAAAGGAAATGAGAAGTAGGAAATAAAAGCAGAAGTGAATTGAAGCAACTGGGATATAAAGGTCAAGAATATAAATAGGAGATAGAAAAGTAAAAATTACAGCTTTAGAGGGGAATACAAAATTAAGAGAATAAAGATTTAATAGACCATATATTACTTTTACCTAGTTTGATTCAAGTAAACTTGACCTCATAAATTAAGGTACGGCATCATTGCAGGGATATTAAGATAGAAATAAGATTACAGAGAAAATATAGAAATCAAAAATACAAAAATATATATTATAAAGAACAAAAGTATGAAAGACAATAAAGTAAAAGCTATGGAATGAGCTATGGAGTAATGATTAAAGTGTAACTGAAAAGGTATGGCAAAAGTTCAAAGTTTTACTTGGCAGATACTCATCAATTTGTTGGAAATCCATCCTAACTAGCTGAATTGTGGATGAAGATCTCTCAACATATCTATACCAAGTTTACTTAACACCAAACTGCTCTAACATATACTCTGTTCTGATTCTTGATGTGTAACAATACACAATTCTCAATAATGGGAAAGGGGGAGAACAGAAATCAGCCACCACTTATAAAAAGCTTTGCTTCTTTTCTAATTAGTCAGTCTTTGTTTTGCCTAAGTTTGTACCAACCCTGAACTATAACAACCTTAGTAAGGCTCCCCTTATTCGTGATAAAGAGAACCTAGTAACTTGCACAAACATTCTAGGATATTTTCTAATTCCACAAACAGGCAGCCATTTTGTTAATTTGACCTGACCATCTTTTTACTGATGCAATGCAGTAGAAAAGCAAGTGATGTATATTAACTGTTAATTTGTTAATGGAAAAATGGAAACATAGTCACTAATAGGAAATGCACTGGTTTTGTGTTTAAGTATTTAATAAACATACTTTTTTACATAAACTATCTGCAGTCCTATAAGCAGTAGCATTTTTAAGACAAATCTATCAGCTTTTGTGATCAGTTTCTTTTAAACAGCTGAAAAATATTTTATAAAAATATAGATACCAATCTACTGTTCTCCAGGTTTATTAGGACTACAACCTGCAAGACAACTAAAAATACAAGCTTTCTTGATAAAGTTCTATGGAAACATATTTATCCCTCTTATCTGGATTTTCCACATTTTTGCTACTAAATACTATCAGCTTCATCTTGTTCCTACCAATATCAAAAGGGAATGTGAGTAAACAAAGTTTGGTGCTTGTTTTCATATATTCCATAAAGTCATCAATTGTGTGATATGTCCATGTAATAGAATAATCTTTACATTCAGTAGTTGCATCACCTTTAGTTGGAGTAACTGCAATCAGATTCTTCTTGTAATTGGTAATCCCTCTTATCCATGCTTAATTTTACCATTACCCCAATACCAAATCATAGAAAAATATTAGTAGCATATATGACATTGCTCATAAACAAATGTCAGTGGAGGAGATAGTGATTTTAAACAAATTCTTTATACAGTTCATAGTGATGAATTGTAGCTGGGAAAGGAATTGGTACAGACCTCTGTATTTTAGCATTCACAGTTACGAATCCCATGATACAAATAGGTGTGGGAACAGTATACCATGATCCAAATACAATGGTTGAAAAGTTGAGCAGGAGTTGCAATGCCTATGCTAAGAAAATGCCAAATAGCACCTGAATCTGCATATACACCTCTCAGGCATGAGATTTAATTTAGGAGATACTCCAGCTCTTTTTTTTGTAGCAAGATTGGCTTATTATTTTAAAACTGAAGCCCTGGGAAAACAATCTGTTGTGTCTGAACTGGAAAGAAATGACAAATATTCTTTCTTTGAAAGCTCTGATAAACAGCTGGAATTACCCCACAGAACTGTTCTACTTCTTTTGCTACATCTAATATTAATTGTATCCTTGTATAAGTGCATTTTATAACAGTCTGGAATTATACGTTAGGTATGTCCTTATATTCTCTTCTTTAATATCTTACAATAACCATAATTAGGATGGAGAAATTCTGCTTACCATAGCACCATCTTGTGATCTACTGGGAGCATTAGATTTTTAACAGATTTTTTTTAAAAAACAATTTTTATTTATTTTATTTTTATTTTATATTGGATTTCTATACCGCCCTTCTCCCTAAGGACTCAGGGCGGTGTACAGCCAGATTAAAAAAAACATGCAGAACAAATATTAAAAACAATTAAAAGATATATAAATTTGGCCCAATTAAAACTCATTTACCAATTAAAAACGTTTAAAACATTTAAAAACAGTTAAAAATTTCATCTTAAGCCAGCCCGGCTTGTTTAAATAAATGGGTTTTAAGGGCGCGACGGAAGGCACTGAGGTCTTGGATTCTCCTTATCTCTGGGGGGAGCTGATTCCAGAGGGTGGGTGCCCCCACAGAGAAGGCCCTCCCCCTGGGGGTCACCAGCCTGCATTGTTTGGCTGATGGCACCCCGAGGAGGCCCTCTCTGTGGGAGCGCACGGGTCGCTGGGAGGTCGTCGGTAGCAGCAGGCGGTCTCGCAGATAGCTAGGCCCTATGCCATGGAGCGCTTTAAAGGTGATAACCAACACCTTGAAGCGCACCCGGAAGACAACTGGGAGCCAGTGCAGCTCGCGCAGGAGCGGTGTTACATGGGAGCGCCATGCTGCTCCCGTCACTACCCGCGCTGCTGCGTTCTGGACCAGCTGGAGCCTCCGGGTGCTCCTCAAGGGGAGCCCCATGTAGAGAGCGTTGCAGTAGTCAAGGCGAGAGGTGACGAGGGCATGAGTGACTGTGCACAGGGAATCCCGATCAAGAAAGGGCCGCAACTGGCGAATCAGGCGAACCTGACAAAAGGTCCCCCTGGTTACAGCCGTCAGATGTTCCTCCAAGGACAGCTGCATATCCAGGAGGACTCCCAGATTGCGAGCCCTCTCTGTGGGGGCCAATGACTCGCCCCCAATAGTCAGTGATGGAGTCAACTGACTATATCGGGATGCCGGGAGCCACAGCCACTCAGTCTTGGAAGGGTTGAGCTTGAGCCTGTTCCTCCCCATCCAGATTGAAAATTGAACCTGCAGCATCAAAAAGTCTTCAAAATTTAAAATATTTTATAGTTTTGATTATTTTTTTTCTCTAATAAGATTGATTTATCTCACAGAAGGGCAGAATAGCTGAAATCTCTGACACTATGGCCTTATGGTAGCTTTCACACTGTAAAGCCAAGCGATTCCATTAGATGAGTAATTTCATTTTTACATTTTCATTGGCAGTAAAGCATTACAGGTGATCAGCCTTCCTTCCCCCCCCCCCCCCACTTTCTGGAGTTAAAAGAGGAAATACTTCTTGGAGATAAATGGTGGTAAAAGAAACCACCAAGGCACACTATTGCAAGGAGGAAAAGTTGATTTTACAAAACATATAGAATAGAATAGAATAGAATAGAATAGAATAGAATAGAATAGAATAGAATAGAATAGTTTATTGGAAAAGTGTGATTGGACACACACAAGGAATTTGTCTTGGTGCATACATGTGTACATAAAAGAAAAGATACATACATTCGTCAAGAATCATAAGGTACAACACTTAATGATAGTCATAGGGAAACTGTCAATATAAACCTTAAGGATACCAGCAACAAGGTTACAGTCATACAGTCATAAGTGGGAGAAGAAGGGTGATAGAAACAATTTCTTGCCTTTGAACACATGCTGCAACAGCTAGCGGTATCTGTCCGGGTATAAGATACAAGAACAAAACAAAACAAAAAAAGCCAAATTAAATTAAGAGCATTCTTAGTCTAAATTTGGGGGGGGGTGTTGGGGTTTCAAACTTGGCAACTTTTAAGATGTGAGAACTTCAACTCCCAGAATTCCCCAGTTAGCATGTGGGAATCGTTTGCGGGGGGGAAAAAGGTTTTTTTTAAAAATTGAAAACCATGGGTGGAATTTCAGACCAACACTAAAGGCGCCTTATCACGTCCGTGGTCCGCTCACACCGGTGGCGGCGTTTTCTTCCGGGCACCGAGAAAATCCGCCTTAGGTGAAACCACGTGCCGACTCTATTTTTTTTTTTTTTATCTCTACTTGGTCCAGGCGGGCTTCCGTTCTTGCCCCTGACTAAGATGGCGGCGAAATCTCAGCCGCGGAACTGAGGAAATGCCACCCCCTCAGCCAATTTGGACGGCGATCACGTGATCAGGACACCGCAGATTCGACAAGTAGCTCCAAGTTAACTAATTAAATTGAAAGGGCGGCGGAGGCCAACGTGGTGGCGACGCTAACAGAAAAAAAGAGTTGGGTTTCACGGCAGGGGAGAGAACCCTTGTTTTTCCTCCAGCGTGTGGTATCTGCTCCCCAGAATTCAAAGGTCAGCTCTTCTCCTGAGGGGGAGAAAAATGGCGTCGGTTTGGGATGAGGCGGAGGTAAGTAAAGCCGGGGACGGTATTATTGCCGAGAATGAGGGGCCGGCGGGCAATATTAGTAGTGAGCGCAGTCGCCTTGTGATGTGTGTGTGGGAAAGGCGGGGGGGGGGCTTGCAGAGATTCCCTCAGGGAGCAGGCCTGGCTGTGAAGGTCCGTGATCGGCAGAGCCTGTTTGCCTTTTGCCATGACTGGCTATTTCTCTCTAGGATGGCATCGGGGAAGAGGTGTTGAAGATGTCCACGGA